GTGCAATGCAAAGCGTGGGATGCAGTGGTGTAAAGCACGCCGCCACTGGACTCTAGAGAAGTGGAGATGTGTTCTCTGGAGTGACAAATCACGCTTCTCTGTCTGGCAATACAATGGACGTGTCTGGGTTTGGCGTTTGCCAGGAGAACGGTTCTTGCCTAAATGCATTGTGCCAAGTGTAAAGTTTGGTGGAGGGGGGATTATGGTGTGGGTATGGTATGTTGTTTTTCAGGGGTTGGGCTTGGCCCCTTAGTTCCAGTGAAGGGAACTCTTAAGGCATCAGCATACCAAGACATTTTGGACAATTTCATGCTCCCAACTTTGTGGGAACAGTTTGGGAATGGCCCCTTCCTGTTCCAACATGACTTCGCACCAGTGCACAAAGCAAGGTCTATAAAGACATGGATAAACGAGTTTGGGGTGTGGGAACTTGACTGGCCTGCACAGAGTCCTGACCTCAACCCGATAGAACACCTTTGGGATGAATTAGAGTGGAGACTGCGAGCCCGGTCTTCTCTTCCAACATCAGAACCTGACCTCACAAATGCTCTTCTAGAAGAATGGTCAAACATTCCCATAGACACACTCCTAAACCTTGTGCACAGCCTTCCCAGAAGAGTTGAAGCTGCTATAGCTGCAAAGGGTGGCCCAACTCAATATTAAACCCTATGGACTAAGACTAGGATGCCATTAAAGTTCATGTGCATTTTTTGCATAACATATGCAACATGAGGTTATGCTGAGTAAATAGATACCCAAAATGCTAACATTAAAAAACAGTACCCAAAATTGTCCATAGGCGAAGCTTTAAAAGCCCGTACAGGTCATCAGTTTAGAGTTAACTGTGAATATTGGCCCTATAATTATTGCTTTCACTCTGGAGAATGTGCTGATACCTAACATGTGCAGTGCAATTGTTACTTTTATATATAGGCGCACCTGACGTGTTTTTACGTGCGCACTTGGTGTGGGGGACATGGTATTTTTAAATTTATATGTTTAACTTTTTTCAAAACATATTTTTTGTACTTAACTTCATTGCTATAACATAGGGGAGGTCACCTTTCCACTTCAAATAAGCTATTCAAATGTAGATCGGGCTTGACTAGCTTCTTCCTCAGCTTCTTTAGCTGCGGAATGACAGCTGAAAAAGTGATGCAATCAGTGATCGGCGAGATAGATGTTTTTATACAGTGTGCTGACATGTCTACAAAGTGACAAGATATGCAACTAGACCAACATCACCAGCTGAACTACTACATGTTAGGCAAATGTGCACTAAACTACATTTTGCAAATATACAACTCCCACAAAGCTGCACGTTCAGGAGTTTTGGCAAGCTGGCATTAGGACTCTGGGCCTTGGGGGTTATATAGGGACATTTTTTACTTCTACTCCAGCAGCAATAAAAAAATAAATCTGTGGATTGGCCCTGGGGTAGCAGTGGCCTGTACCTGGGGCAGTGCTGCCAGATGTATTTGGATGGCTAACCCCTTCCAGACCTCTGCAAGCTGTTCCTGCTCTTAGACAAAATTCTTCCTCGCTACTGTTCTGTCTCTTCTTTGGAAATGTACTCATCTCTAATCAGTGGCACCCATAAATTATCATTCGCCCTATCCTCATTGCCGGAGCCCACTTTGCAGTGGGTTCCAGCTGCTAGGACATTCCTTTTGCTGCTCCTTGCCTACCACCCGACTGCTGTGTGAATTAACCCTCCTATCCCTCTCTCCCTTAAAAGCAGATGTGCCCTGACTCTAGATGGTGTGGCTTGACAAATGATTTGTCCTGCAGAACTTGCTCATCCTCTGAATGCAGGACTTCTGCCTCTCACTATAGGCCTGCCTGACATTTTTTTTAAAGCTGAACTCTTGGCAGAAATGTTATCCCAAATAAAAATACTGTATATAGTTCATTCATTACAATCTCCTTTATATCTTTTTTTTTTTTAAGACCTGTGGCCATTATGCCTGTTCTTTCCCCAGACACCAGCTTTGTAACATGCCCAGTGTAATGCAGTAGTAATTTAGGGATGTCATCATTACGTCCCCCCTCGCTGTAGTGGGAGGACCCCAAAGTCTCAGACTCCAAGTCTAACTCTCCAACAAGCTTAGAATTGTTTGGTGGACAGGCTTTGAAACTCCGGGTCTGTCTCACCCAGCATTACCTCACACTTTACCCTCCCACATTTCCTGCGCATTACCCTCCCAGTTTAATACCCCTTGCCCCCTCATTCATGCCCATTGTTGCTACAATTCCCTTGGCATGATGGCAATTATAATATGTTACAGTGGCAGTGCACACGCAGAGGAAATGACAATGAAGCTTATCTGCTACCTCCTTCGGGTCCCCAGGTATAGCTGTAGTTTATGAATAGAAGCAATGACATGATTGCGATTAACAACATAATTTTCTCAGCAAAAAAAATCTGGGCTGCTTCTCACCTTATCACACAATGCGCTAATGCACATTTACACACGCATTTTATTTTGCATTACCGAAATGCAGTAGTCTGAATGGGATCTTAGCGATGGCTACATACTACATCCAGTACTTGATGGAGGCATTAGGGACTTTGAAGACTAAGGAATCAGTGCCAACAGGTGCTGGAGCCAACAACACACACAATGCCGCCAACATAGCCTCATTGTAATGCCAGTGTGTACAGGAATTTAAACTGGGATTATGTTTTTATCCACTTTGGTTTGCAACAATATTTATTCAATTTTACCTTTCATTACATTTACCATTCAAACATTCATGTATCTTTAACATTGCTTATCATTCATGAGAAAAAATAAACTTTATTTAAGTTGGCACTTAATAATTTTAAAAGTTACGCCCCTTAGTGTACTTAAGAATGTGTGTAGCCAACTGTTCTTAAGATATTTAAAAACAATAAATATATATTTTAGAGGGTCACGCCCATGCTGTGCTTTGGCTCTCCCTAGTTAGCTGTTTACTTATTACATTGTAAACAAGTGTCAAATATATAACCCTATCCAGATTGCCAATAACCCTGCAGTCATCAGCCACAGAAGAGAACTCAGGGGCCATACAGAATTACAGGTAAGGGTCATGCAATGTTTTACTGGGTCATAAAAATTAGTAATCACTAACCAATAATGTATTTTTAGGATCTTCAAAAATGTTTCTTCAACTGAAAGTAAAAATCACTATATTGCATTTCAGAGTTTGGATGGTAAATGAGTAGTGAGCATTCATGCCTTGCATTGCTAGATGGCTGATATGCCTCTCAACCGAATGGAGGTTGTATTTACTTTGCCTATTTGTGTAGAAATACTGGTTAAAGTATATCTAAACCCAAGAATAAACAATGCAATATATGGCAGCTTACCAGTCCTTAGATGCGATAGATGCATTTGATTTATTTTTTCAGGCTAAGAACATTTTCAGCAAGTATAAAAAATCTTGCCAGACATGTAGCGTTCTTATTACTTACTGTACTGAAGCTACAAAACATGTTATGTCCTTCCAAGTTGTCTTCTGTAAACTACAACGCTCCCAATGGAAAGGAGATGAAGAGAGAAGGACATGTTTATAGTCCACATCAGGAGAGCAGCCTAGAGTAACAATGCTGCTCCTAGTTACAGTGAGGTGAGTAAGCATAGCGACCATAGGACAGGAAGTTATTCCCAGAATTGCCAGGTGGAAATAACGTATAGCATTAAAAAAAGAAAACTAACGTAGCCAGCACATCTAAGAGATGAAAGGGCGCAATATATAGCATTTTGGTTTTTGGGTTTAGAGATGCTTTATTTGGAAGTGCGCAATGCACTAAAATGCAAAGTCCACGTATTACATACTACCAGGAAAGTTAGAATTCATCAGGCAAAATGTGACAAAAATGTGGTTACAATATGCCTGATGAAGGAGCCCTGTGAGGTTTTAAAATGCCACATCTTTCTGATACATTGAATGAACGTCAATAAAGGCATTGTTGGACGAAGATCCATAGCTGTGCTGGTGACATATTATTTCATATATGGTACAATGTTTGTGCTTACATGACTGCTGGCCTTTGGGGTAGGGGGAAACAGGGTTATCAATAAAGGCATTGTTGGATGAAGATCCTCTGTGTGCTGGTGACATATTTTCTCCTTGGATTAATGCGGCGCCATCCACATGTTGCTACAGCAGCTGCTAAGCAAAGGCATTCATTGGTCAGGTGTGTGGTGGGATATGTATATGATATATATGCAATAATGCCACATTGGTGTGAAATAAATACAGTTCTTTTGTAACAGAATGGACCAATATTCTTAGTCAGTAACTTTTAAAAATCTGTATTCCACATGAAGCAAAAGTGATAACAAGACTTTTGCAGAAATGACTATAATGTTTGAGCATATGTGGAATTCTACATTCAGTAGCTTCTTAAAACATGGGGCACTCTCTCTAGATTGCCAGCTAGATGCCAACATGAATCAGTGCAAAGCTCCTCAAACACTGAGATAATCATACATTATTCCTATCCACCAATGTGTGCTGTAAGTTGCAATGCCGCAGGAATAAACCCAATGGGACGGTATTGCACTCTGTACACAGATGAAGACTAATATGTTAAGAAATATTTTTGCAGGGACATGACACTCATTCTGGGCTAGTAACCTGCTAGTATGTCCCCTATGTGATGCCCAGGTTAATGCAGAAGCAATTTTAGCTGTGCCATACAAAAGCAGTGGCACACTTAGTGGCCAAATGGCAGCTGTGCCCAAACACAAATCTTCCTCTTGCAACTGCATTGGTCATATGACCTTCCATAATAGAAAGCCAGGGTTATTCGTTTCTTAGGAAATGTAAGTATGTAATAGGATATGATGGCATCTAAGACTGCAGAGCCAGAGGAACGTAAAATAAGTAAAGCTTTTTGCAAAAAAATGTGCTTTTAATTTTGTGTCATAAATAATGTTTTACATGAACGTAAATATATCAAAATGTTCTTCCTGAAAAGCTAAAGAGCCACCACCACTCTAGGCATCATGAAGCTGCTGTTTATCGCTGCGCTGATGGTTGTGTGGGTCTCCCCACTGAGAAGCACACCTTGCAAAACAGTCCTACGTGTAAAACAAGATGCTTTGGAGTATGGTGAGTAAGGATTATCATTTGCACAGTCTGGTTATGTGAAGGTACACCGTATATAAAAAGGGGCATCTTCATAGGGGCAGCAAGTCCAAATACAGCCATGTCAATAGCATGTCTGCAGACTCTGACTATATCCTGAAGTGTGTCCGCAGGCTAAGTCTTCTGCATGAGTGCAGGTTATGTCATATACTACAGAGTGTTTTGGTGATGTAAGGACCCACACATGAGACCCCCTATATCTATTAAGTTCACTATCCCAAGATGCAATGAAGCAGCATATGACTGTTAGGAGAACTAGATGAGGTGCTGGTGTTCATGGTGTGCGTTCATCACCACTTACTGGAATAGTAACTTCTTCTTAGACAGTGTTAGTTTGTAACACAAAACCAGAATGTTTCTCCTTGTGTGCTTTAAACTTTTGAATATAATAAAACCTTTTGGAAGGCTGAAAATATTTCTAGAGGTTGCATTTTTTTTTGGAAAACAATACTCTTACTGATGTGATAATTCTGGTAAGTGGCTCATGCAAGGCAAAGCCACAGGTCCACTTTAATTCCTGCCCCACTATCTTCACTTCCCTTTCTTCTGCTGTTCATTGGCTTCCAGGATCAAGACAAAAAACTCTAGGGCTGACACTGGAGTGGAGAGCTTCTTTACACACCTTGTCCAGCAGGGAGTGCAGCCCCCTCTAATTGCTTTTCACATAATTCACTGGCTTCCCGCAATCTCCATGACTTCTGGACCTGCTCAGGATTGATAGATTCCCATGTTTTCCAGTAGAGAGAATGTGTCTGATGGGACCTGGCATGTTAGTTGTCACTAGGTGGGTGGCACCCCCTTGTTGTTCCTGGCATGCGGGCCACTGGTGGGGAGCACAAGAGCATGCAGCTTTATCTTAGGTCCCAATCACTGTGGTGGCTGCTGTGTTATCTGAGACCAGAGCACTGCCTTTCCAGTGGTGTGGTCCTGTATCTTTAGCTGCCTCCTTGTACACTGATCCCTGGACTCATGCCACTCCCTGGGCATCCAGAACAGAGACTTATTTGGCCTTCCCACTATGGAGCTTGGAAACCCCTGTGATTGACCACCTCTGCTACAAGTTCAAGTCTGCCTCCTTGTGACAAAAGTGTTATCCCATTCCCCTTCCAGGGAACTGCAAGTAATTGTGTTTGCATTAGACTGAACTGTACTGTGCTGTTTACTACTACAAATTTCTTATTATATTATTTGCTCAGATACTTTTATTATGTATTGTGCTTTTATCTAGTGGCATTCATGGGAACTACCCCCTAGGCATCCCTGTACTACTGTTTACTGTATAATTGTTTCACTGCCTGTTATACTCTTATGCTAATGTCTTATGCTGGTTGCATACCCCTTTATCATATTTTTGACCTTGTCAATGTATCTTGCATTCAAACAGTAAACCTCAATTGGCATATTATCATTTAACTGATTATTTGGCTGATACCACTTCATAACAAAACTCTCTTACCAATCCCATGTGGTAGCCACCAATCTCATGTGATAGCTTTGGGTGCTGGAGTAGCCAATCACCAAGTACCAGTGTGAGCATGTGGGAGAAAGGGGAGTCAATTATATGCTGCCACATTCCTGGAAGTACTGGGTATTATACTTTGCTCCAGGTGCCTGAATAAACCTACAAGGTTGTGAAGGAGAAGTGAGTAAGTGCTTCCGTGGGGTTCACGATTAAAACAGACCTGTCGTTTTGCCCATGGCAAAGCCAGTAACTCAGAACAAGTATGCAGATAAGGGATTCTAAATTTACTCGATTGCTCTTGATCTGCACACTTGTTCCAGGTCAGGGACTTAAGTATTGCAGCCAGAGGTTCGCCATAATGGCCAGGCTACTGTTTTCAAAAGCAGATCAGCAATGACTGCCCATCCTTATGTCTCTTACTAAAGGTTTACTTTAATGTGTTCTATGAACTTTGTGTTTATGTAGCTTGCCAGACCCAAAAAAGACCTCTCCAAAAGGCTTTTGGAATCATTCCCATTCCTTCTGTTATCAATGGAGGAAACAGAGGTATCCTTGGTCTAGGGTTGGGACTTGTGGACAATGTCGTCAAGCTTGCGGGGTATGTACAATATTTATGTAAGTCAATGTTGTCTATAAATGTATCTACTTGGGAATAAGGCTCATCTAAGCATGGCCATTTTGCATTATAATTATTTTTGCATGCTACAATTTTTTAAATAAGGTGGACAAAAGCGGATAGCTGAAAATAAGGATATTAGGTCTTTAAAAGCTTTTAGGACAGCAGTTCCTTCCAGAATATAATATCCCACAAAGGGATGTTGTTCATTTTTTATTATTATTATTATAAGACAGGATATATATAGCGCCAACAGTTTGCCCAGCACTTTACAATATAAGGAAGACATTACAATTACAATACCATTCAACACAAGATGGTAAGGAGGGCCTTGCCCCTGAGGGCTTACAATCTAAAATAGAGTGGCAAGTGATACAACTTGCAATGAATTCCACTACAGTTATTATTGATAGATGACATAAATATTATATTTGATATTGAACCACAAAATAAGCCACCTTTTCACCCATTCTAAAGTTAGTTATTCTAAAGACGTAGAGTCAGGGCTGTACCTACACTATTTGCCACCTGAAGTGTGTGTGTGTGTATGGGGAGGGGGGTTGTCACTGACTGGTCGTTTGGTGCTATCAGTGAATGGTCATTCCTGGGGTGGCAGGGTGGGTGCTGTCAGAAAGTGGTCATTTGGGGGTGGGGGTTGGGTATATCCCACTCCAGCAGCTTTGTCCAGCACCCTGCCAAGCTCACTGACCTCACTGGTAGCCAGGAACTGGCCGTGACACAAGCAGCGAGCTAAGAGCTCTTAGCAACCTGGGACGCTGTGGCTGCCTGGCAATAAGATACCGCCTGAAGCAACCACCTCAGGCTGCCTCATTATAAGGACATCCCTGCTTGGAGTCCACGCAAAGGTGTAGCTACTGCACCTGAGCAAATAAATCCTAAAGTGTATCTATAGCCAAAACTTTATATTTTTTATTTTGAAAACGAAAGATTTTTAGTTCAGTCTGCGTGCCTGTTGGAGGGATTTGCTCTCTCTGTTTTGGTGACCGTTAAGTTTTCAAGACCGGACATGAGGGCATATGTCCACAATGGGACCCAAACCGCAAAAATAAAAATAAAACTGACACGGGTGATAACTATTCCCTTCTTTATATGCAGCAACAACAAATGTTTTGGCTTAGATGTACTGATGTCTGGAGGTTACAGGACATGCTGCAATTAATCTTTATAGTAAAGTTTGGCTTTAATTATCTTAGAGCTTAGGCCACCTCTCAACTTAAAATGAGAAAGAGGGACACCTTTCAGTTAAATGTATTTAGGCAATGGACACACCCCCTGTTACGCCCCCAGTTATGCAGACCATTAAAAGATGTATGTCAAAAATGATTGGTTAAACCCACAATTGTTTTTTTTTCACCATTATTTTTCCTTTATACTGGCTTTTTGAAATAGCAAACAAGGTAATTAAGAGATAAGAAGGTATTAGTGCAGAATAACAATTTTGGTAGTTAAACAGTACATTTTTATAGATATCTGTGCATCAGACTAAAAAAAAAAAGGGACAAATGAGAAGGAAAGAGGTGCATAAGGATTTGGTTCCAAATGAGAGACAGTCCCTCTTAATGAGGGACAGTTCAGAAGTATGTCCACTACCCGAATATCTAATATGATGGGAAAAGTTTCCATATAGTTAACCATCACTGGCCTATCTGGGTGAGTGCAAACTTCATGCATGCCCTAAACCACATCCAATCATTGGACAGGCACATCATTATTTGATGTGTAAAGGCCCTTAAATTAAAAAGTGAACTTTTAACACCCTTTGGTTGTTTTAAAATATCTACACAAATCAATCTGCTTTGATCATTGAAATTCGTCATTAGTGCTATATGAAGCATTTGATATTGCTAAAACTAAAAATGATATAAAATCTTGAGATCATGTACATATTACAAAGTACAGTATAACGTATAACATGTATTTTTTATTTCGCAAATACAGGGTAAGAATCCTGGATGTCAAACTGCCAGAGCTCAACGTGAAAATGATGCCCAATGTTGGACTTCAAGTTACTGTTGATACCAGTTTTCAGATCAGTGGGAGTATGTAAGTTATTATAACAAAGTAAATCATTGTTAATAGTGTAAAAAATGCTGATTAATGTATCATGTTAACATATTTCTTACCTTACAGAAAAAAAAACAGTTTTAAGTTAAAATGAAAAAGTTAGAAAGAGTTGCTTAGGGGTTAAGCAGCGAGGTCCATGTAAGCTATGTTCCAAAAGAAGGAGTTATCAGGAAGAGGCCAACAAAAGTTGGGGAAGAGAGGAATAGGAAAACAAATGTGAGAGAAAGTCCTGGGGGTTAACACCTAAAGTGATCAAAGATCTAGCAAGGAATTGTCAAATCATGGAGGCTGGAAATAGGATATCCAGGGTTGCCATTTATGGAGAAATGAGTATCAGATAATATTGCAGTCAGTTTTTCATTAATTATTATTTCAATCAGCCTTTTTTTGACCGACTCAAAGCTTTAAGTACATGTTTTCCCGGGTCTGACACTGGTCAGTGTGGGAGTGATAAAAATGTGGTAAACGAGTGGCAGCTCCGTATGAAACAGGGTAAGGACAGGCTTGTGACCATCTGCTTGGAAGACAATAAGGATGTATAGATCAGAGTGATCAGCACAGGAGCATTAGGATCTAAGCGGCATTTGCTTTCAAAAGGGGTACACATCAAACACATCAAAAGTGCTTCTGTTAGGGAATGTCATGCAAATATGGAGCTGCTGAAAGGTAACATCAATGAGAGTAAGAAGAGAGCAAATATCATGGATGTTGTGTTCTTCTCATTATTGAAACTGTGCAGTATTATCCATATCTGGGAGAAAAAAGGGGGTACAGAAAAGTTTTGATAAGAGAAGAAACGGTGATATGAGGCCTATGGAAAAGTTTACCGAATCCTAAAGACGTAGTGTATGGTGTAGGATAGGATTTAAAAATGTTTTGGGGGGGAGCCAAAGGAGGTCCACATTGAGTATCAGATAACATCTAGAGTTGCGCATAAAGGAAGATCAAGAGTTGTGTGAAGGTGAAATAAGGGAGCAATATTTCCTGCTACATAGCAGTAGTGAATGTTGGGCACTGCTAGGTTGGAGAGAATAGGATATGCTTGGTAATTCTGGCCCTAGTTTTGCACTGCTGGATTAAAAGAATATGGAAAAACTCTGAAGAGTCATTACAGTTTAGAAAGATATGTTATCTTAACTGAGAGTATGTGACCAACATTATTACCAACATTACCAACATTTTTATGATTTATCAAGTGCAGTTATCCCTTTCTTTATCATTCATGCCATTTGCTGTTATCATTGGAAAATGTTGTTTCTTGGTAATGGTGATCTGTTTACCCATGATAAGGTCACAAATGCCTGGGCCTTGAGCATCTGCAGCAATCAGCGTATTTTTCAAGCATGCAACTCAGTTTTTCAAGGATTATCAGAGACTTTTTCTTTTAAGATAGACTTACAGTATTTCAAAACAAGAACTGTGCTGAACTTGGTACAGAAACAATGAAATTCAGCAATGGGGGCTTCCTCATTAGAAAAACCAACTGTGTATGGGTTTTTCTTAATTCTCCTCATCCTACTATTGACTGATAATCTTCTTTTCCTAGAGTCCTTGTTGGAAATATTGATATCAAAGCAGAAGCTGGTGTTCTTGCAGATATGAGAGTCACGAGGACAGATAGAGGTCTCCCTATCCTCAGTGTTTCAGCTTGCAAGTCTGTGGTGGGAGGCATAAAAGTCACAGGTGGACCCTTTGGGTATGATTGTTATTATGATAGATTTTACACTTGTTTAGTCTATACATTGTATATAACATATTTAGTTTAAGCCACAGTGTTCCCTTAGCATAATGTTCCTTTAAAGCAGAACAAGATTGTCATTTTGAAAGCAAATACTATGGATGTGAAAGTTAAAAATTAAGCATGATGCATACCTGCACATCTAGAATGCCTTTTGTATTATTCATATTTCATATTATCCATATGCTATCTTGCCTAGTCTCTTTCTCAGCATTTTTGGGAGGTAATTAAGTGGTGCTACCATCTGATTGGAATGTTGTAATTATTCCAACAGATGATGTTTTCATTCTTTGCCAGGAACTGGGCATGTAATTGGGTGGTTTTATCCTCGCCCCAACCCCCTCTTTCCTGTTCTTTTATCAGCAACTGTTTTTTTAGAAAAACATCTGTTAACAGCTGGGAAAATAGAACACAGCACAGGACTGGGAGCAACTGCACTGTTCTTTTCCCTTTATGCCCCTATAGGAGAATATTGGCATCCAAAGGCAGAGGTGTGGAAAGTCTGTAACCTCTGAGATGTCCAGCCAGCAGAGCTGAAGTCAAGAGGTCATAAGAAATTCAAGGCTCTGCTTTGTACCTGCACAGCCAATGGGAGAATTTCTAAAAAAGCAACAAGACACATAGGGGGTGATTTACTAACCTAAACACACGCACGCACTAGGTGCGTGTGATTTTTACACAGCAAAATGTATTTATCAACCAAAAAGTCTCTAAAAGCATATTTCCACTAATGCCATATATGGAAAAAGCATGCACATGATGCATATATAATGCTGCTTCACAGTTTAGACAAAAATGGTTAGCTCATGCATTTACATTCCTGCATTCATCAACGCAAGCAACACAACGTAGAACTAATTTACACATCATCACCTTGCAATTCATGCAGGGCTTTGCACAACACACCTGCTGGGTGTGTACACACTACAAAGGTGTCTAGATTCCCCCAATAGATCATGCTGGGAGGGAACACACTACAGAGGTGTATACTTGTTCGTGGCGTGTTTATAAGGTTAGTAAATCAACACCATAGATTCACAAGTGTGCACGCATCTTTAACTTGCAAATTTATAGTGTCAATCTTTTCTTTTGTCTTATTCTTTATCAATAGTATTAGAAGCAGGATATGTTGAACAGTCTATTTCAACTGTGCTTACTATCTGCTATGTTACCAAAATATTTTACTGACATGTTTTTTCTATTGTTCACCAGTTTACTTCCTGGATTAATTAATATAATAAAAGGTCATTTTGAAGCTGTCCTTAGTGAATTGGTAAGTGCGTATTAAGATGTGTTGATGTGTTTTGTTAAATAATGCTGCAAAAATGCAATAAGCAGCAGAAGTACAAATCAACAAAATTATGTCTTCATGTGTTTGTCTTATAGCCAAAAATAACAACTGAAAGGATTAGTCTACCCTAGATTGTTGTTTCCCAGGGAGTCATTTAGTGAAATATCTGGGTCTACAAACCTGCTATGGACATCTTAAGGGTCAACTCTCCATAATGGATATTTTATGTGTTGTATGTCATGGAGAATGCAACAGGAGAATCTATACATACAAAGATGGGTGGGAACAGCAGAAACTCCAAGGTGGACAGGAACAGGGTGAAAATACATGGCAGAGAGGTTTCACTGGTGAAATATCCAATACATACTATAAAAAACAGGGGTAGCCAAACTTTGACCCTCCAACTTTGGTGAAGCTACAAGTTCCATGTGAAGTTGCTTAGAAGTTGCTTGACTTAGAAATACATGCATGACTTCCACAGGCAGAGGGATGATGCAATTTGTAGCTTCACAAGAGCTGGAGGACTGAAGTTTTGCTACCCCTGGTGTAAAAAAACCAGGAGCGGAACTTAGGCTCAGTCTACACCTAAAATATTACATTTGTGTAAACTGAATTGTTAATTTGAGACCTGGGTCTACCATTTACTTAGTGTAGGTTGAGACTTGAAAGAGATTACAAAACTCCACATTGTTCTGTGTATACGTTAGTATATCAATAAATTGGATTGCAATAGGCTTCATTGGGTTTTGACAATAATCAATAGCTCATGCAAGCTAATTGCAGAAATATTTAGCTACATGCCATAGTTTGATCGTGTTGTAAAGCTCATATCTGTAGCACCTGAAACGTTTCACTTGTATGTGGTTAGAATATACATTCTGTTCTTACAGTGATGTGGTGCCATGACCAAACCGCTGGTTCATACAGTAGATATATACTATATCTAAAGGTACATACATATTTTGAAAAGGCTCTGCTCAGCTTCACTGTGCAGCATTACATACACTATCATGAGGCATGGTGAAAAATTTGACCCATGCTGCATCTACAGTAGTCAAACAGGGTTATTCACTAAAAGGTGAAGAGTTTGGAGAAGACAGGAGAAGTGAACAATCTAGGACAACATAGCTGATTTGGAAAAAATCTCCAATTCAGCTCACTTTCCAGTTCAGCTATGTTGTCCTAGACTGTTCACTTCTCCTGCCTTCTCCAAACTCTTCACCCTTTAGTGAATAACCCTGAAAATGTTTACTACATCTCATTGTAGGCTTCACCCAAAGAAGATTATTGGCTAAACATGTTGTGTACATCTGATGCAATGCAGTATGTCCGTGTCTTCTGTTTCTCTTTATCTTATTGTAAAAAACACATCGGAACTTGGCCTTATACAGTTATCCTTGCATGGTCAGATTTGGCAGTTATTTCTTTTCTATACCTTCCAACTGTTCCATTTTTATTTTTTAAAAAGTCCAACATTTTGCTCTTGGCAAGTTTTTTTTACATGGGACATATAGGGTAAAGATGAGGTTTGTGGTTTAAATGCCCTCAATTTATGACCCCAGAACATTGGTAGATATGCACACCACCAGCACCTGACAACCATCAACACATCACTATGAAGAGCATGATTACTTGCAATAGTATTTATGTATTTAAAGGAGAACTATGGGTTTAGGGCTTTTCCCTATAGTTCTCCTTAGGGTAACAGGAGGACACAAACTAGTGTCCTCCCGTCACCCTAAGCTCAGTATACCGCGAGCTACAGCTCGTGGTATACTGAGACGCCGCAGCTGAAGCGGATCCCGACAATTATGTCTGGATCCGCCCAGCTGCGTGAGTGAAAGCTGGCTCTGCATATCTAGAGGCAGAGCCAGCTGTACCCGCCCCTCCCCCGTCCGTTCCGCCAGTCAGCGCTGGAGGATGGGAGCAGGGAGGGGGGAATCTAGCCCCTCCCCTGTCACGGCAGAGAGCCGTGACAGGATCGAGAAGTGAGCGAACGCCGCTATGTGTTCGCTCACTTCCCGATCTACTGAGCCGACCTGTGACCGTCTCATTGTCACAGGTCAGCTAGAACTATGAGGTGAGTGAAAAGCACTCACCTCATAGTTCTCCTTTAAAGACAGAAGACTGAGGAGATGAAATATTATCTGCAGGGAACGTTATTTATTTAGGAACACATCTAATTTCCATTTTATTTTTAGAGCTACAATGAAACATTCCTACAAGTTCTCCAGAATCAAACATAATAAAGACTTCTGTTTTATTCCCCCACAGCTTTGCGTATCAGTATCAAACGTTTTCCTGGGATTTAACGCAAACTTGGGCTTGTTAGTTGGTAAGCAATATCCATTGCCTAATACAAGAGTGATAAGAACTGAAAATGGTCTAGTACTACTTATTTTATTTGCCTGTATTCTATCTCTACTCCGGCTCCTCGCTGTTCTTATTAGATAAACTAACGTTCATATTTTTGGTTGCATACTTTGCTTAGCATACGGCAGAAGTAACAATAATGAGCCAAAATGAGGCTCTAAGTGCACTAGCATTATTAGCATTATTGCTTTCCTTTTCATAACATTATACTGTATTAGCATAAATTGGAATCCAAGCCAAAGTTTTTTCTCGTTGTTTTGATTTGAGGGGAAGACTTTCAACCCTTGTCAGGTTTTTCATGGTTATATCCATCCTATTGGTGAGCATATGGAAAATGAGAGAAAAGCTTACCTTCTGGAATCAACAAAGCAATAAAATCTTGACATGAGTCAAACATTAGGAAACAAAGACAGGGCAAGCTTTTATTAAGATATATTTAATTGTGTCATAGAGGAAATTTGTAATAGTATGTGACTTTCAAATATTATTGCAAACGTAAGTGACCTAGAGTGCTGTTTTTATTCACCATGAACAGTGTTTAAAAAGAATAGTACCTTCATAGTTTGCTCCAATTACTGTTCCATACATGCTCCTCCTTTTCACAAAATGTGGAAGTCTAAGAAGGCTAAACAATGCTGTTGCTGAGATTCACATTTTGGCTTTTTGTCTAAAGTCAACAGCTAAGCCCTCATCTCCATCTATAACCACCTCCTAGCTGCTTATACATCCGGAGAGTAGTGAGCCATGACTGTCACATGAACGGCAGAATTGTCTTTGACATGCAAGCTATCATTGACAGGCTTTACCTTCTGTATACTGTACAAGAGACAAGATGGTGTCACCTAGCGGGGGAATAACTGAGTCTCCATGGACTCATTTTGCACCACTTGGTTTTTGGCAGCAGCTCCTGTAAAACTGGCAGAAGAGAGGAACGTCTTAAGGATAATTTTATTTTTTGAAATGTATTTTGCCACTAGAATTTGTACTGTCTACATTAGCCAATGATTTTATCCTTGGTCAAAATTCAAGATAATTTTAATCTATAGAGGAGGGGTGTTAAAAATGATCCGTACTAGGAGTCAAATGAGTTAGATACCCTATTGAGCATCTATATGTATTTGGGCAAAATTGTTATTATTGCCATATAAGGTATTAGTGGTCCAGTTTTATGTCTTTCTCTTTCAACTGTTCTCCTTCTCTTCTGTTTTATCTGCATGTATGCTATGTCAAGTACACAACCTGATTCTGGACCAAGTTCATAAATAAAAGTATGTTAATGTCATCATCACAAACAGTGCATAACATTATCAGATTATTCGGAATGATGTCACTTTGCATGGGCTTCATAAACTTCCACACATCATGTGGTGTGCTCCTTGATGCTCCTTGTGACCTGCACTGATCCTTCTCTTAACCTAATAGTCCAGCAGGGGTCACCAAAAGACTTTACATACACATGATGTATGATGGTTTTCATATTTCCCCAGCAGTGTACAATAAGTGGCTTATTCAGGAAGACAGTATACACTTTAAATATATAATAAAGTATTTGTGAGCAACCAATAAGGTTTATGTTTATTAAGCTTTGAATGAATGAGTTACAAATTATAACTGGTGGCTATGCCCTCTGTTTTGTTGAATAAACTTGTTTATGTGGGATCCCCATGATGACATTGAAAGGAACCCTAAGTCATCATCTAGAACTCTCATGCACACAAATACAAAAGGGAAATGAAAAATGTATGAAGCCCAGCATAAATCTTCCCTTGTTGTACTTATTAGGTGTATCTGCTATTGGTGGGAACCGTGGATTACAGTACACCATGCCTAGCGCTCCAGTCGTGACAGGAGACTACATGGATGTGATTATGAATGTAAGTTGTTGTACTTATATAAAGTGTGTGTGTCTATATATACATATATATACACTGGCAAGTTAAGAGGAGTTCATTTTCGACTTGCTTTCTAATTTTAATACATTTATTTTTTATTTTCTGCATGCACTGCTTCTGCATGGTTTGCATGCACTGCTCTCCAACTTTTGTCTTAACAGTTTACTTGGAGTAACAATTCCCCCTCCTTTGTACTAGTGATACATTGTATATTTACACCCTACTTTTGCTACATTTTATCATTTATAGGGATGTGTGACTTTTTTTCTTTGAATTATTAATTTATGGATGATGAACAGGGAAATGCTAGGAAATTAAACTATATTACTATAGCACAGTGATCTTGTAAGGTATCATTGCCAATGCATACCACTTATCACTACACTCGGATTTGCAAAGGCATTCCAGAGCTGTTTTTAGATATGCATAAGTTTTAACCTGGCTTCCCACCTTGTATTCATTCATGTGCGAGCCGGCGGAAGCGCTGTAAACAGGTGGTGCATAGTTCCCAAGAAGGCTGCCAGGAGGTCCCCAGCAAGTGCAGGACCTCAGGCAGCCAAATTAATTTGAAAATTGACAGGGTTATTCATAAAAGGGTGGAAAGTTTGGAGAAGGCAGGAGAAGTGAACAATCTAGAACAATATAGCTGAATCGGAAAGTGAGTTGAAGTGGAGAGTTTTTCCAAATCAGCTATTTTGGCCTAGATTGTTCCCTTCTCCTGCCTTCTCCCTTTTGTGAATAGCCCTGTGAGTGTCGGTATCAGTTTTCAGTATCGGGGCATTTTCACGAGTATGAGTACTTGTGAAAATGCCCAGTACAGCAATAACGATCAATATCGGTACATCTCTAATCTTTTTTTAGCTAGAGAAGCAACTTCATTTATCAGGTTGTAAACTGGTATTTCTTTCAGGTGGAATATGAAGTGGATAAGCAGGTTGTTGAAATACCAAATGGGGGCAAGGATTTCACTCTTCCTCCTGAAGCTGGAAATAAAGATGCAATGGTCAACTTTGGTCTCTCACAGGATTTCTTCATCTCCATGTTTACAGCATTTCAGAGTTCTGGGGGCTTTGACTTTGAAATCCCATCAACTTCTGTAAGTCTATGGTCTACGATTTTACTGTTGAAATTAGTGGCCTTTGCTTTGTTCACAAAGAAATTCCACCTTTACAAACCTTTGAAGTGTTCCACACACAGCAAACAGAATGTCATCATCATTTCCCCACACTGCAAGGGTTAATTGCTTGTTTTGGTCTAGGGGCTAAAATAAAAAAGTGAAACTTATCTGATACTCAATCCTGCCTAGATGCTAGACCGGTCCCCGCAGGCACTTCTCCCCTGGGCAGTGTAAGTAAAACCGATGTAATCACTTTGAATGCAAGTCCATTGACTTGCATTAGACATGAGGGCTCAGAGGGACATTCCATAGCCAGAGTAGAGAAGGATAGAGGTGAGTCCTGACCACCATGGGACCGAGGATCAGGTGAATATTTCTTCATTTGCACCCCTAAATGAGCACTTAACCGTTGCAATTGAAGTTGTCAGCTCACATGATTTCTGACAAGATCAAAGGGTACTTTTTTGCAATTATTGAACAGATATAACAAAGCACTTTATTTATTATTGTATATTTAACAAAAAAGGGAGCAAAGTAAACCAAAAGTTAATTGTTAGGGATTTAATACACTTCAATATGATCCAGTTATTTCCATGTTCATTCAAGAAGTCAAAAACGTCTGCAGCTCTGGAGCAAGGCGTAGCATGTTCATATCCTGCCTTTGCTTCCTTGCTCAGTCCATGAAATTAGAATTGCCCTTTAAAATGTAGGATGATAGGTTGCCTGCTATGCTATGTTCAATTATACTTTAGTCTTATGTTTCATTTCATACACCAAACCATTCAACAAATTGATTTATTTTGCTTCTAGGTTTCTGTTAGGACCTATCTGACAACATCTGTACTGGGTTCCCACATACCCGAGGTATGTACTATATTTGTTAAATCTGTCTTATACAGTATCTTTCATATACTGGTCACAAGAAATATTTATGCTATAGCAAAACATGCCATAAAGGGCTTACAGATACAGTTACCCCTGCCATCAGTCAGAATAGGTTTTCTATAGTAAAACAGATCAAAATAAAGGCAGAAACCATAGAAGGCTGTCGTTTTACTCTTCTTTTATTTAAGAGGAGTAGCTAAAGTAGTATTACACTCTCAAACGTTTTTTGAATAATGAATTCAGATCAAACAAATATACATTGCCCAGTTTTGCCCAAATACATACAGTCATCATGTTTCAGAACAGCTGGCTCCAACTTTCTCGGCTTGGCTTCCCTGAACTTCCTGTTTAGTCCAAGATCACAAAGGACAGAGTAGTCTACAGCAGCTGTCCATGTACTACGCTGGAGAAAGAAGGAGGGAGCAGTGTGCCTGTGTGTTTGTGGAGACACACGCAACTTACTAGTACACACAAGGGTGTCTCCTTAGGACCCTGCAAGGGAAAGGAACCACCCTAAAACAGGATATCAGGGCCAGTGCTCAGGGGACCAGCTTATTCTGCAGGAAATTAAACTTTCAAACAGCAAACAGCAGCATCCATTTTAAATCTTTTAATCAGCATTTAAAATAACTTTAAAACCTTTCAACGTTGATATGACCTTAAATTATGGTGATCAAAAGCATGAAATTCAAACTCAGCAGTAGTTGTAAACTATATATTTGAGGGTGATTTGAATAATAATTGAAAAAGTAGAACATTTCTTTAACATTCATGGCCTAGTGCGGGCTGCCAACACCTGCACATTAATGTTTCATAGACTTTAATAGGATGTTGCTCCTGCACTATGGGTACATCCCATTCAAATCTATGGGATGTGAGTGCCCAGGTGCGGGCAGACCGCCACTAGATATTAACCAGCAGCCTTTGAAAGTGAAGGTCTGTTTGGTGGTGGTGGCTCAGTGTACTGAACAAGTCTTGGGGGGGGTTCTAAATTTGTGAATACGAAATACCAACTACTTGTCTACTGTTCATATTTCAGTAATATGACTACATATTTCTGTGCTGGTACTGTCACTTGGGACACACACTTATAGGCGCCATGAGTTAAGCATTTCTACAACTCTGCACTGGATTGGTAAAAAGCTAGTGCTAGTGCTAAGGCATCAGCCCAGTAGTTCAAGTGACACATATTTTTGGAGTTAACTAAGTTAGGTGTATTTAAGGTACATTTAGGCCTAGTGTCAGAGGCTAAGGGGTTAAGTTGAAGGGTTAGGAGTAGAGCCAGTGGTAAGTACAGTATTACGATTAGGTTGGCTGTTAAGAGTTACATTTCAGTGTTAGGTGTTCAGGTGTTTACTGTAAGGCTAAGCTTGCGGGTGGGCTGTTACGATATGTGTAGTATTGAGGGTTCATTTTCAAGGTTATGTTAAATGCTCAGTTTCTAAAATGGGGAAGGGTTGAGTGTTAAGAGTAAATATAAGGTGAAGGAGCAGACCAATTGTTGTAGGGATAGGAAGTGTTATTGATAGGTATTAGTTGGAAGCTCTATCAGAAGCTCAAATAAAGTTTGGTTGGATTTAGACTTAAAATGTGTGAAGAACCATAGAAAGATTAATGATATTGTTTTGGCATGTACAAAAAATGATGAAGAAGGAAAAGTATATTAAATTACAGATTTTCTCTGACTGCAGATCAGCTGGAAATACAAGGAGTCTCTTCCTGTGGACTTGAAGATAGAGCTCACTCAAACACCAATTGTTACCCTCGACTCCAACTTCCTGTTAGTTCAGATTTCTCCAGTTGTGGAAATGTTTGTGGTGACGGGTACCATGCGCAATCAGCACCTAATGACTCTCAATGTGGTAAGTGAAGGCACCTAGGGGCAGTGATATGGTTGTACCGCGTGCAGTTTTATAAAGCATAGTGATGTCCTTTACAAATGTGCATTGGCTCTGCTGCCATTAATTTGTTAAAAGGGGTGAGTGCGGAAGTGTACTGATCTCCCTCTGATCGAGGTGCAAAGACCCGCTGCACCGGTCCTGCATGGGGGACATCGGAGCCCAGGATAGCCAGGAGTGGCAGGGGGAGCCAAAACACTCCCTAGCACCATACAAGCACTTGAATGCTTGTATGTGGCAGCCATTGTCGGCTGTAAGAAATTATACCAATATTACGGCGGTTGCAGAAGCCACGATCTCGGTATAACCACTTCATGTTGCCACCGTTAAGATACATATTGCGGCATTTAAAATGCTGGAAGAAGAGCCCAGGCATGTGACCTGTCAAAGTCAGATGACTGGCTCTCTGCATTTTATGGATGGGCTGCAAAATGCAAACTGGGCATATAGAGCAACAATGTGAAGTATAGTGAAGAGTGGATTGAGATATTTGCTCTCAGTTATAAATCAGCTCTCATTGTTTGAAATCTGGTTAGCATATTTACTTCATTACCGTGCAAGGCACACTCATGTGGTTATCTGCTACATGGAATAAATGGCAAAAAGTAATTGTTAGGACAAATTCTGGATACGACCAGAAAGCAGCAATATCACGTTAACATATATAATATGAAACGTATATCATGCTATAATGAGCCAAAAACTACTCACTTTAAAGCCCAGCCAACCGAGCAGGAGGCGAATCTTGCATCTGGAGCTACATTTTTTTGTTTCCAAAACCTGAAATATTACTTCATAAATTAAGTTTACCCTTTGGACTAGCAAAACTTTGGAAATGATTTCCACAAAATAAGCTATCTTGCAAAATGGCCCTGTTTCTGGCAAGAACACGAGGGGATTGCCAAAGGATTTGGTACAAAGGAGATTTTTTGTTTTAGAAAGATATAGACCAACCTGTATTTTGTCCATTCTAGGCAAAGTAATGGATCCGCTTTACAATGCAAACCATCTTCCCTGTCTCTTTAATCCCCTGCTTTAGCCTGAAAAATACTTAGTGGTCTTTTTATTTGCAGAGCTATTCACCCTGTAAATCTCCGTGAGCATTCACTCCGTGCGAATAGAAGCAAAAGCGAATGTTCTTAGTATGTTTTATTTTCAGGTTAAATGTATTGTAATACAATACTGCATTATGGTCACTAGACCATAAGTCACTAAGTCACTACTTATTCCCTATCCTCCTCAGCTGCATCTAGTGGCCATAATTCAGTATTACATTATATTACATTACATTCGACCTAAAAAGAAAATATATTAAGAGCATTTGTTTTTTGCCTCTATTTGCACAAAACAAACATTCACAGAGATTCTTCAGATGAATGGCTCTGTTTATAAATAGACCCCTTACTATTTTTGAGTATAATGAAACACATCACAATCTTTCTTCTCCCTAGAATGTATTGTTTAGTGCCTAATTGAGGCCTGAATACCGTTATATTGGAGTTTCTTATTATTAGGAAATACATCCACAGCTGACCACTTTTTGAAAATTCTAGCTTTTTTAAACATAACAACTCGGCAACTATCATTTTCAAAAAAAGAGTTCAGCAATGGAATTGTATCTATTTTTTTCATAAGATAAGAGAAGAGAATAAAAAGAATATATAGAGGGGGGAAAAAAAATA